CAAACATCACTTAGCAAGTGTTCTTCATATTCTGTCACCAGAAGCTAGCAATTCAACAAATCTCAAAGTGTGCTTAATGTAAAATATATTTTGACTATAATATTTACAAGTGTTAGAACCTGCACGTATGTAACACACATCAAATAAACCATTGTTCTTTTAATACTTTGTTATCATCAAAACCTAAGTAAAATATGTCATGAACAAATCTTATTCTAACAGACGATTTTATCTTCACTTATCCAGCGAGGTGACATACACCTTGGACGCCTTCGAGCCTTCGTAATTGATGGGCACCATGAGATGATCAACTTTTTTGAGGATGTAGCTTGATGACAACCGCTGAGACAATAAGGCCACAAAACTGTCTTTCATAGTATTCTAGTGTAATATCTTCTGACGAACATGATGGCGATACCCTGCTTTCTTCATCTGGTACTTTCCTTGTGGACTAAAAGAGCCAAACATAGAATTGAATATAAATACTAACTAGAGGTGTCTTCTCTAGAAATTCGACTCCCCTATGGCGGGGCCTACAGTGTCCTTTCCCTGCCCGCATGAATTGAATTTTCGTCATCGTTTAGGCACAGGTATGAAGGTTTAGTAGTTTGGCCTTGTCGGACTGGACATTGCTCAACGTTCTCTTTCTTTAACTATATTTATGCCCAAACATATTTATTCTTGGATGAAGTGCTCAACTGTTCTAGATCTGAGTGTCGAGGAGAAGGTGTACTAGAGTCATAACGTCTAACATTTTGCCTCATGGTGGTGCATAACACTACCCACGGTGATTATTGCTCTAACCACAAATGATTTTTCATTGGAGGTTTGTTTCACCTTGGTGCGACTATGTAGCTTTAGTCGCAATAAGAACTTCATCCCGTTCTACCAAATCTAACATGAAGCAACCTCCGTTTATCATTAAGAGGTCCTTCGTCACCTGAAGAAGTTGTTCCAATAAAGGATCTTTGTAAGTGGTAGCTATGAACTCACAACATCTTCGAAGTTGTCATAGTGAGTATCACATCAAAGACGAATGATTGAGGTAATGCGAGATCATAAGGTTGAATAAGCATCTTCAGTACGGTTTTAGTGACAATTTATAACTTAGCGACTGAATTAGCGAAAGTTTTAGTATTAATGACCAAAAGTGTGGATGAAAAATTTTAAGAGAACCATTCTTTGAAAGAAATATTTTGAGGGGGTAAAAATAAAATTCGAGATATTTAGGAAGAATATATATATATATATATATATATATATATATATATATATATATATATATATATATATATATATATATATATATATATATATATATATATATATATATATATATATATATATATATATATATATATATATATATATATATATATATATATATATATATATATATATATATATATATATATATATATATATATATATATATATATATATATATATATATATATATATATATATATATATATATATATATATATATATATATATATATATATATATATATATATATATATATATATATATATATATATATATATATATATATATATATATATATATATATATATATATATATATATATATATATATATATATATATATATATATATATATATATATATATATATATATATATATATATATATATATATATATATATATATATATATATATATATATATATATATATATATATATATAGGCAAAATATCCTTCTTGGTCCCTTAACTATACCTCGAGGTTCATTTTGGTCCCTTAACTTTAAAAAGTTCCATATTGGTCCCTTAACTCTTCAAATATTCCATATTAGTCCTTTTTGACCTATTAGCGACGGATTTAGCAACGGTTTTTTGATTTTTTTCCGTTGCTAATAGGTCAAAAATGACTAATATGGAACGTTTGAAGAGTTAAGGGATCAATATGACTAATTTGGAGTAAGTTGATCCCCACTCATATATATATATATATATATATATATATATATATATATATATATATATATATATATATATATATATATATATATATATATATATATATATATATATATGAGTGGGGATCAACTTACTCCAAGAGTAAGTTTTTTTTTAACTTACTCCACATCAGTTGGCTGGAAGATTTTGACTGGGAAAAGTTGACATAGAAGCTGACTTGTGGGTCGACAGGCTAGGAAAGATGGTGAAGGAAACAAGGTAAGTCGACGCCGGCAGAAGAAGGTTGTAAGTCAACTCAAGGTTATTCCATGGAAAGTGTAGACTGATGGCCAAGGAAATCGACATGAAGTATGAGAATTTTTGAGGGGGAAGAAAATTTGAAAAGTTAAGAACGTGAGGAAGTTACAAAAGTGGTGGAGGAACATGTGGCACCACCAAGACCAACATAGCAGTTATTTTCTTTTCCTATTTAAGGCAATGCTCATTTTTATTTTAAAGGGGGCGCATTTTGTAACATGATCAAAAACAAGTCAAGAGGGAAAAACACTTAATAAAATTTCTTGATCTTGAAACTTTTCAAGTCATGTTTTCAGCCAACTTCAAGAGGATTTTTGACCTAGTTCCACTGGTAATTTGGAAAACCTTAAAACATGAAAATTTTAGGTCATGATGATGGCTTTCCAAAAAGTACAAGAATTCATCTATAGAATTTGTGAGCTAGGAGTTTCGAAGGAGGGAAGTTGGGGTCCAAGCACTTGAAATGAACAACTTTAACTTGACATGAACCAACATACCAACTATCCAATTGGTTCTCAACCATTTTTTAGCCATTGATCTGATATTTAGGATGTATGATGAGTGGGAATGCAGAAGAATCCAAGAGAAAAGCTAGGATTTTGGCCAAAGTTCATTATTAAAATCAAAACAAGTACAAAAGGTACAAGAGGAAAGAGAAACTTTTGGGAGTAAAATCTGGTGCATCATGGCTTCTACCCTATTGACACTACTTTAGTAACTTCTTATGGCTTATTTACAGTTTTTTATGCAGCACCAAGCATTGGAAACACATAAAACCAGCTGTATTAAGATCCATGGAAAGATTTGTTCCATTCTCCCTCCAAAAAGACAAAAGGCAATCCACATCTCCAAATCTGTCCAAACATCCACTTCCTCTATAAATAGAGACACTCTCTATTAATCCAACATATAAGAACAAGCTCCAAAAACCAGAAGAAACTCACCATTAAATCCTTCTTTCCACTCTTCTTGTAATTCAAGCAAGTTCACTAAAAACTCTCCAAAATCTGTCTTGGGTAGATTGCATACCAGAACCAATTCCAAACATTGAAACTCACCATAAACCCTATACACAACCTATAAATGATATTTGTACGGTGTTCCAACCATTGAACCAGTCCAAGACCTCATATTTCCCAAAGTCAACACTCAACCTAGTGAACTTTGACTTTTTATACAAAACAAGATAACTCTTTGCTCAAGCTTGTTTCAATAATCTTGACACCTCAAACACCTTTGGTTTGAAGTGTACTAATTGTCCAAAACATCAAAAAACCTCTGCATCACTAGTTATTGGATATGTCACAAAGATCCCTTTGATTGCTTCAAGTATAAGAAAACTGTTGGTTCACCAAGAATTGCTTGAGATCAGTTGGAGCAGCTTTTCAAGGTATTCCCAACTAAATAGCTTACTTGGAAGTCTACAAGAGGTTAGTAATCACTACCTTACTCATAAATTATCATGAACATGATTAATGTGCATTAGTCATAATGTGTTTGAATATATATGAGTGGGGATCAACTTACTCCAAGAGTAAGTTTTTTTTAACTTACTCCACATCAGTTGGCTGGAAGATTTTGACTGGGAAAAGTTGACATAGAAGCTGACTTGTGGGTCGACAGGCTAGGAAAGATGGTGAAGGAAACGTGGTAAGTCGACGCCGGTAGAAGAAGGTTGTAAGTCAACTCAAGGTTATTCCATCGAAAGTGTAGACTAATGGCCAAGGAAATCGACATGAAGTATGAGAACTTTTGAGGGGGAAGAAAATTTGAAAAGTTAAGAACGTGAGGAAGTTATAAAAGTGGTGGAGGAACACGTGGCACCACCAAGTCCAACATAACAATTATTTTCTTTTCCTATTTAAGGCAATACCCATTTTTATTTTAAAGGGGGCGCATTTTGTAACATGGTAAGGGAAAAACACTCTGAGTACCAAGCATTAAGAGAAAAAAGTTCATTCCTGTAAAATGTATGATCGCGTCCATATTTCCTTTTAAAAGAAATTTACATTACCAAACTTTAAGATATCTTGATTTTTTACTCGTTTATTTTATTTGTCCTTCATTTGGTATACACATTTTTATTTGAGTTTGTTTTCAATTTGTTCTAAACAAAACCATTCTACCATCTTCGCATAGACTCAATCAGATAGTTCTAGGACTTGTTTGGCCGGTTCCGCAAATAAATCTACGTTAGGAGGTCAGAGGTTGTTCGGGCGAAAACTGCGTGCGAACAACATCATAACCTTTAAATTAAATCTAATCTAGTAGTTAAATTAATATTTTTACTTATAACTATTCAATTAAATCTAATTTAAAGACTATGATTGTGAAATAAGTTATAAAAACTTACTCTTGAAATAAATAGATATTATATATATATATATATATATATATATATATATATATATATATATATATATATATATATATATATATATATATATATATATATATATATATATATATATATATATATATATATATATATATATATATAGTTTTTACAAAAATATCTGATCTCAATTTTCCAACCACACCGTTTTACACCGACGCCAAAACCCCATATTCCCCGACGACCCGACCCAATTTAGCTTTCTTCTTTCTTTCTTTCTTTCCAAGCAAAATTTCCACCATTTATTCATTTTCCCCTCACTTTCTCTCCGTTCTTCCTCCAAAACCACCGTCTCTGTTTCATAAACCCTCTCCAATTCCTTTTCCAGCCCTTTAATTTCTCTCTCTATTTCTTCTTCCTCAGCCATGTCCATCTATAGGGTACTTTCTCGAGCTTCCAGAAGCTTCACGCTGCTCTCTGCTTTGCAGAAGCCACAACCCCTCTCCACCACTTTCTTCCATCACTTCAGTTCCTTTCCTCATCAATCATCCAATAAGGTATCTCTATTGTAATACTGAATAAGAAAAATGTAATTTTCCCCAATTTTTCGTTGTAGGGTTTTGCTAGGGTTTTAGGATTACTCATAAACCTTTAACCCTAGATTTAATCATAATACTGAATAAGAAAAATGTAATTTTCCCCAATTTTTCATTGTAGGGTTTTGTTAGGGTTTTAGGATTTAATCATAAACCTTTAAACCTAGATTTGATCATAATACTGAATAAGAAAAATGTAATTTTCCTCAATTTTGGGATGTCATGGCTATGAATTATTCAACTAAGTTTAAATTTTTTGCACTCTAAATTCTCTCTATTTATTTTTTTTAAAATGTTTTGGCTATGAATTGTTGAACTGAGTTTAAATTTAGGGAACCCTTAAATTTATTGTACAACTAGATGGTATGACCCAAGTGGTAGATACTTAGGTTTCTTGTCCATTTGGTCGGGTCTAATCCCTGGTTGGTAGTAGGTATACAAAAATAAATGTTGGGAGCATGGTTTTAAATTGTGGTTGCATTACGGGTGTCGATTGCTGTTGCTGTGATGTGATGCTCAATGCGGCCGTGACAGTGTGAATTTTAATTGGGAGGTGTTTGAAATTAATTGTTAAAACACTTAATTGTTAAAAAATTTCATTATATAGGAAGTAAATTGAGTTTTGGGTTTCTGAAATTTTGAGTTTTTATGAAAATACTTGTAAAATCATGGGTGAAATTGTCTGATGTGATTTCAAATGCTGGCTGGATCTATAGTTTTAATTCACACCACAATTGCGGTCTGATGCGATTGTGGAGGCTACTGCATTAGCAATATTGCGGCCGCAATTGCAGTTGATGACTGCAATTCAAAACCATGGTTGGGACTTGAGAGAGGTTAACCTCTTAAATGGATTTCAGCTATCCAGAGCAACTGTGCAGTTGCGTCTGGAAAACTGTGGTTTACAGAAAAGCTTTAATTTATTGTTGCTGTATATTCCTAGATCATGTCTTGCTCCTCAATTATTTGTGGTTTACAGAAAAGCTTTAATTTATTGTTGCTGTATATTCCTAGATCATGTCTTGCTCCTCAATTATTTGTCTGAGTGATTTTAGTTTTAGTTCTGCTTTGTGAAGTTCTCATTAAGTTCTATGTGTGATTTCTAATGTCCCAGGTTATTCCGATTCAAGCCAATTTGTTTTGTCCTTCAATAAGTTCATCCTTGAATCCAAGATTTGGATTTTCTACCTCGGCCTCATCGGAGTCTTCAAAAACAAGTGAAGAGGCTAATGTAACTGATCGGAATGAAGAAGATAACGGTGAAGATCAAACGAAAGACTCAGGTTAAGGTTTATTTAAGAATCTCGTTTTCAATGTCAATCTGTGAACAGAAAGTGTGAAGATTTTAAACAAAAATGTGTTAATTTTTTTAATTCAGATGCAGAGATTGAATGTGATCTATCCAAAGATGAGTTAATAAAGCTTGTTACTGAGAAGGAAGCACTTTTGAAGTTAAAGCACAAAGAGATTGAAAAAATGCAGGATAAAGTTTTACGTACTTACGCAGAGATGGAGAATGTCATGGACAGGACTAAACGCAATGCAGAGAATTCAAAAAAATTTGCCATACAGGTCTATGTTTTGACATTTTTTGTTTTGTTTTGTGATGTAGCCGTCTTGCTCCTAATGATTTAGTTTTCGACTCTTTGCTCATTGGTTTCTAATGTGATGTAGAATTTCGCCAAGAGTTTACTAGATGTTGCTGACAATCTGGGAAGAGCTTCTTCAGTTGTAAAGGACAGTTTTTCAAAAATTGAATCACCTAAAGAATCTGATGAAGCCGCACCACTCCTGAAAACGCTTCTGGAAGGTGTTGAAATGACTGAGAAACAACTTGCAGAGGTAGACTGTTCATACTGCAGCACTTTAGTTGTTAGATTCAAAGCTAATCTATGTCCATTCTTTTACGAGTCATTTGATTGATTTTTATTTTTATTTAATTTTTACGTGTCATTATAATTTCCAGATTTATAGGGTTTTCTAGATTAATGATAGAAAATAGGCGGGTTCTGAAAGTTTGATTGTGATGGGTTGGATATTTCTTATCCTCTTCAAGGATTCAAGTCTTGGTTGTCTAGAAGAAAATTAAAGAAAGCAGCATAGAAGAGTAGAAGAGAACAAAAGAAAACTAGTAACTGGAACATAGCGTCCAAGAACATAGCAATATGCTTTGATAATTTATAGATGTGATAATCTATTTAAGGAACAAGTGTTTCCTATTTACTCAATCTACACGTGTTAAAAATAGAACCATAATTTCCTATATACTAAAATTCCAAAAGATCTTCGACACACATGAAAACCTTAGATGAGCCTGTCTGTCTAATTACGAACCAATATGACTTCACTACTAAATATGCAGGTTATTAAAAATACCTGTAGTAATGTAGTTTGAAAAGTATGGAATTAATAAAAAATCATATATAACTAACAACAATCTTGTAAACTGAGGGCCATGCTTTGGAGAATAGACTGGTTGCATTGCATTATGGGTTTTTTGAAATAATATTATCTGATGGATAATACCGTTGTTCGTTCCTATTATTTAAGTTTAACTACTGTTGTTTACAGGTACTTAAAAAGCATGGTGTAGAAAAATTTGATCCTACAAATGAACCATTTGATCCAAACAGGCATAATGCCATCTTCCAAATACCTGATGCTTCCAAACCTCCAGGCACTGTTGGAGCTGTTCTGAAGGTACTTTACATGTGATCGTATGTTGGTCTTGTGATCCAGTTTTTCTTTTACCATTTCAAAATTGTTCGTGTTTTCTATTCGGTTGTTGCCTTTTCAATTAAATTTAAATATTCATGGTCTCGGCTGATGTGTCATTATTTATGACAAATTTTCTATTCATTACGTCAAAATGCTGATTATTTTCATTTTATTGTCAAAAAGGGCATGTGCTTTCCAAACATTTTCTTTAGGAGGTTTTGTTTCCCTTGATGTAGCAATAAATGTGATCAATCATACTCTTGGTCTTGTTTGATGGTTAATTTATAAAAGCTGTAAACACCACCATTTGTCATTCCATTCCATTAATGATCTTTCTCCATCTCATACCATCAATCTAAACAATACTTTTACTTGCGAATGAATGAAACGGGATTGCTTTGGTTATATTTGCAGGCAGGATATATGCTTTATGACCGCGTACTTCGTCCAGCAGAAGTTGGGGTAACACACGAAGTTGAGGAAAACAAAACAGATGAATGATCATTGCATGAAGAAAATGCCTGAGTAATTGGGTACTTATTGGATATTATCCGATGTCTTTTTATGTAGTACTCACTCTAGTTCTCTTTTGCGGAGCTTTAATTCATCAAATTGAAGAGGACTATTCTTTTCCTTTATATGTCCCAAGTTCTTTTTTAATAATAATAACAAAACAGTATATGGATTTGATTCCATGAGATTTTGGTTGTATTCATGGTATTTACTTATTCATTATAATGGCCTCTAGTTTAGTCCTGTGTCCGTTTCTGTTAGCAAATCATAATTTGAGAAGCAGTCATTGTAAGATTTAAAGTTAAGTTTTGAGGTGATGCATCTGGTTTTTTCTTCTGAGACTTTGTTTTTGTTAATGTGAGATATATTAATAAATGCTCGAAGGGGTAGATAGATGACTGTGCTAAACGAGTGCTATATCGGTTAGTTTTCTATTTTTGTGTTTGCATAATTTATCATTTTAAAGGTGTGATGACATTGCTAGCTAGATGGAACTCTCCCTGGATCGATAGTGCGCAATTGTCCCTTTGGCTTAAGAAGGATTTGGGTGATGTTTTTCCCGCCATCGCTACTAAACAAATCCTTATTTTTAGAAGTGTGCATCCGAACTGCTCAAGTTATCCAAAAGATGCATTCGACACCATAAAATTTGGTGGTTTTATTGGAACATTACACCTGTGGGATGGGAAAAGTACTGCCCGAGGGACTCGATTACAAAACACGGTCCTATTTAAATTATGGGTCAAAATTGAGATTTTATGTGTTGTTGATTAAACATTTTTCAAACTTTTGAAATGTAGGTAATAAAATGATTCATTTGTTAATTTTTTAGATGTTAATGTTTTGATTAATTTAAATTTTTTTGACTAAATTATAAATTTGAAAAATAGGGATCAAGTTATCATTTAAAAAATTTTAAAAGATTAATCTATAAAATTTGAAAATTATTTTATAATTTTTAAAAAAAATTTAAAGATTTGAAAAATTTTAGAATAATTTAGACAAAATCTGTGAAGTATTTTGTCTAAATTAAATTAAATAATTTTAAATGACAATAAATAAGTCAAATTTTTTTTACCATATTTTATAGAATGTTAATGTTGTTATTATGATAAAAAAACATTTGAATATTATTATTATTTCACATAAGAAACTATAATAATAATAACAATAATAATAATAATAATTTTCAAAAAGGGACTAATCCCCGATTAAACTTACTTTTAATCATTCAAATAAGCAAACTTCAGCTACTACTTTTAGTCTCAACATCCCAATTCTAGGAGAAAAGACTCTCATAATCCATAATTTGGCTGTGATAACAGAAATTATTTGCCAGTTGATTTGTTCAATAATCAAATTCAAATACTCCCTATCAATTCAATTTCAACCGAAACTCATTAACTATTTGCATCCAACTACTTGGTTAAAAACTAAAACTTTGTCTTGACATTCATATTCTAAAACTCCTACTTGCCCCAAGTTCAATGCAGCTGGCAAAAAGAAAAATACAGAAGACCACAATTTGAGATTTTATATTTACATATACTACTATTGTCTTTCTACACTACACGTACTAAACAGCCTCAACTGATTCATATCACATAATGTAACAATACTGATCTACACTAGTTGCTCATTGTTCATGCTTATAGCACTAGTTAAGAGCCAAGTGCTTACTATATACAAAATCTTAACTACATAGTTCCAAGATTCTTAGTTCATGGACCACCCACTAGATCATCGCTGTTCTGGCTGTTTTTACCATTGTTTCCTTGGAAGTCCAAACCAAGATCCACCTTACTCATGTTTGAATCCTGTAACACCGATAGATATCCAATGTTAATATTGGTCATTATGATGTTATATTCTTAACAACAAAAGAAGCACCTTTCCACCATAAGCAATTAGCTATACCTAGATCCTTGTGTGACTTGAGTAGAACAACTATGTAGATCCTTGAGTGGGTCACGTTAGGGGTAGCAAAACGGGCTCAGACATGCCTGTTTTGTCTACACTTTTTCGCAGGGTGAGTCAAGGATTTAGGCCTGTATCCTCTAATAAAACCGCTCCGCGACTTTTTGCCTTGTCTGCCACAAGGCTGAAAATTAATGCCCTAAATGCTACACCCTGAAAAAATATTCCCCAATGCCACATTTTTTATTATTTTTTCTGCCCACACTATTCAAGATGGCGGACGTGGCAGACATGCAGTCGGGGTCCGCCATCTTGGATGGAGACCCCATTTGTTTCTCTAAATATTTAAATATATCTTTTTAATAATTTATTTATTTAATAATATTATATTAATTAAAATATTTAATTTTAGAAATTTAATTAATTTTTAATAAATAAAATTGAATTATTATGAAATATTCAAGTATTAAATTTTATTGTTTAATAAATAAGTGTTTTAATAATATATTGTTTTCTCGCCAAACATATTCTTTAATATTATTTTTTTCTTCCATCTGATTTTTTCCCTCCAACTGCAACCATTAAATTTTATTTCAATCATTAAATTTATTTCTTTCCATTTTTTCTTCTATAAATAGCAATGGACGAGCAATCAAATCCTCCTTTCAAACTTCATTCTCTAGTTATTTCCTCTATAAATAAATAGAGAATAAAGTTTGCTATAAATAAATAGAGAATAAAGTTTGAAATGAAAGTTGATTGCTGATGCATTGTTATTTATAGAGGAAAAAGTGTGAAGAAATAAAATTTATGGTTGTAGTTGAAGGAAAAAAATTAGATTGACGGAAAAACAATATATTATTAAAAAACTTATTTATTAAACAATAAAATTTAATACTTTTGAATATTTCATAATAATTCAATTTTATTTATTAAAAATTAATTAAATTTCTAAAATTAAATATTAAAAAAATATTTTTTTTAATTAATATAATATTATTAAATAATATTTAAGTAATTAAATTATTTAAAAACACATTAAAATGATTTTTTAAATATTCAAAAAATAAAAACGAAAAAAAAAAACTCCATCTAAGATGGCGGACCCTTGCTGCATGTCTGCCACATCCGCCATCTTGTCAAGACAAAATATGTGATATTGGGGAAATATGTTTTTAAGGTGTGACATTTAGAGCATTAATTTTCAGCCTTGTGGCAGACAAGGCAAAAAGTCCCGCTCCGCCTCATTTTTTTTTTTTGGCTTTTGCGGGGCACAGTTATTAACAAGATTTCTTTACATAGCTTTTAGAAATGCAAAGCCAACATGCCCGCCTCACACTCTCGTAGGGCGGACCAAAGTTTTAAATCCTCACCCTTAACTATGCTCATCCTGATTTTTGTGGACATTTGCGGGGCGAGGCTAAGCGAGACAGACATACCGTTTGACACCCCTAATTCAGGTTGAAAAATTGAACATAATTGAACCAAAAAAATAGTTTGCATGAATAAAAAAAATTCACCTAAGAGAGAGTTAAGAGGGGAGAGATGGGGAGGACTAAGATAAAACTTGAAGAACATTAAGTCTTGTGCCCACTTTGAAAGTATAAAAAATGATACTAGAGAAATGTTCAAAACCATTCAAACCAGAAACGGAAAGTTTCGGGTATTTTACCTTTGAGTCCTCTGAAATTTCATTCATATTCAGCTTCCTGTGCACCTCACGATTCACATTTGACTGTCTATCTGTCAATTGGTCACTCTCAATTGTTGGTTCCTTTTCAACCTTTTCCACAGCTCCCTTTTTCTGTTCTTCAAGCACAGCAATCTGCATCATGACATTGGTGACCAATCTCACTTATAATGAAAAGCAGTTATTTAACTTCAACAATCATCCAACAAAGGAGATGGTAGTTAATAAGATTAGATAGGACACAATTTTCGTCAACAACTTTTATTGATTGGTTGTTCTTTTACCAACTTCACTTAAAGAAATCTAGTCATTAACTGACACAAACACATGCCCGACTTATCAATTACAACATTATTCCCAATGTATCTATTTTCTTCTCTAATTCTGCTAATGCGTTGTTGTATGCAATTCTGTTTTCTATCACATAGGACAGCCCTCTTTATATTCAACAACAACAACAACAACAAAGCCTTAAATGAGATGGCCTTTATAAAACAAACAATACCATCATGTTATAGCAAATGTTGAGTATGACTCATATAGTAAGAACATAACGATAACAACATCAACAAGACATCAGGTTGTGGCTACAAAGTAAAGAAGATATTGGATTTATAGATGAGTGTTGAGTATGACTCATATATATGTAGACACTGAAGAGAGGTATGGACGGGGAGCCCCTAGCCTTGTGTTTGGCCCAAATGTGTCTTAGGCCCAACTTTTTGTTGTGGATAGGTGACTGGGGTGTGGGGTGGTATCTCCAGAGGTACAGTTCAAGGGTATTATTGTAAACTGAGGCGTAGTATTACATATATTGCTTGTAACACTGAAATCCTAATTCATCGTGGAAATAGAAAGGAACTATAGTTGTTCTATAGTCACAAAGGTAGGCACTATTGACCAAACTGTATTAACAACTGTATTAACAAAGATCGATTGTATTCATTGTCTTTTACGTTCGTTTCTCTTTAATTTTATATACTAGTTGATGCTCTAACAACATACACCATTTCTATAAATTTTGATAGTAAACGATAACTACGATCTCCCTCCACCCTAACACACAAACAAACCCTGAAACTATAAGTAACATAACAAGTAAAATTCAATCGTAAACTCAACGAAATCAGCTTCTCTTCTCAGCATACTTCTAAATTGGGTCCAACACTGCACTTTTAGCCACAATATACACAATTTAGATGCCTATGCAATGGTATCACAACTGCAATTGCAACACCATCAACCATATTTAACCTCATTTTAGAGCAATACCATCACCGCTTAACCACAATTGCAATTAAGAACAATTAATCAGTACCTCAAACCCCTCCAACCCAATCACATAACAATAGCTTTCTCCACATAAGTCCACAAACCCAACAAAACATTCCAATAAAAATTGAAACTTTACAATACCAAAACCAAACCCCGACCAAATAGACATTGACTTACAGGAGTATAACGAAACTTCCTTCTGGGTGGCTCATCGGAGACATCACGGGCATCCTCAGCGGAAGAACGGTTGGTAACCGGAGTCCAACGGCGGAGAAGTAAACGAGACGAACCATTACTATTTTTGTTGTTGTTAAAGGAAGAAGGAGAAACATAGACCCATTTCTTCTCCCATTTTCTGACAGGACCGCTGAACACTGCGGGTGCACCGTAGCGAGAGGAAGCTCGACCCAGCCTGGTAGAACCCACCGTCTCCATTGTGTTGTCGGTGAAGTTGAACGGAATGGAACAGAAAAGTGTTGAATCGTAGCGTCTTCACACGGAACCAAAGAGGTAGTGAGAAAGTGACAAGTAAATTGTTTGTTCTACAAAAAGGATGTGCGATGGAATAGGGATTGTTGATTTTAGAGATGGGTGCATCAGTGTCGTCAATTTGTTTGTTGCAGTCAAGTCAAGGTTCTCAGAGGATCGATGGTGACTACTGAGTAGAGAGCAACGGTATCCGCGTGTAAAGTAGCTAGCTTTACAAAACGAACAAAAAAGTGAGTGAACTTGTAGAATGAAACACTTCAAGCGTGTGATATAATTTTTCTTCAAGCGTGTGGTATAATTTTTGGTTCTTTAATTTTATTTCGGAGTTCATTTTAATTCCTCAATTTTAAAAAAAATGTTATATTGATTATTTAATTATTCAAATAGCATTACATTAATTTTTTATGTTTGTCTCGTTAGTCAAAGTCAATTTTGGTGTAGATGTGGCACATACGTGTTGTTGAGGTGGATCACATGTTATCTCAAAAACGAAACTGAAAGGTTTAGTTCATAAAACACATGCAGAACAATTGGCGAAGGAACTCTAGTAAAGGAATTGACGAAGGAATTAACTGCGATTTGCGAAAGGAGGAGAGAAGGTGAAGTCGAAACCTTGTTTGAAGGTAAAAATCAAAGACACCATTGTTGATTATAGGGTAGTTTCACGAAATCTTTCTACAATTCTAAAATGTTGTCGTTTTAGGGTTTAGGTTTAGGTGTTTATGGTTTTTGCAATCTTTCTAAAATTCATTTGTTTATGCAATTCTATTTTTAAGGTATAATTTGAAATAAACGAATATTTACATCTAAAAATCCATCACAGTGGTGAATTCGTTGATGATGAATTTAGTGTGTACGAAAGAGGAGAAGTTGTTGATTTGAAAGTAGAAGTTTAGAGGTGGAGTTAGTTTGAGTTGTTAAGTTACTTCAAGGAGTTAGGTTATAGTGTCATAGAGAAAATATATTACATGGATCTCACATTTGGGATGAATGTGTTGGTTGATGACAAATGTGCCTTAGAGATTGTGATCTTTATAGGGTGCATCTAAGTGTTGATATTTATATTCAACACACTTTGTCTCAGTCTGAGTATTATGATGACCCCCTTGATGAGATAGAAGTAGATCATGATGACATTGTAGATAAGAGTGAAGAAGTGCTTAGTGCAATTTATGAAGAAGTAATTAATAGGGAGTTGAAGGATAGGGAGTTGAAGGAAGCTGAGATGAATGAAGTGAGGCAAATGAAACCAAGTTGAAGGAAAGTGAGGAAAATGAAGTTGAGTATAACGAATGTGAGACAAATGTAGTTGAGGCAAATCACGATAATGTGCATGAGGGTGGTGAGGTGCATGATGATGTTAGTTCTGATGACACTAAGGATGAGAGCTTCAATTATGATAGTGCTTTGGAGATAACTTATGATGCTGAATTTGATGAGTATGATGATGAATTGGTTGAGGAAGATGAAATGGCTAATCTAATTTACTATGTACACAAAAATGGTCAAGAGGGAATTGACAAAAAAGAGAAAGAAAAGTGGGAAGAAAACAAGGAAGAATTTAAAAGGAGTGATATTGAGAGTGAAGATCTAGAAAGTGGGTGTGAGAGTGATTATAACAGTGGAGTTTAGAAAAAGAAGTACCCCATGTTCAAGTTACAAAAATACATGTCCAATTATAAATTGGAGGTGGAAATGTATTTTAGTACCAAAGGTGATTTTAAGGAAGCAATAACCTCATATGTAGTCCAATCGGGTAGAAACTTAAAGTTAACTAAAAATGACAAAATAACACTACTACAAAGTAGACTTTTTGCTACACCAAACTACAACGGTCATACTGTTAACGTGGTAATACCTCATTTTTGGACACATGTTTTTATTTATACTTACGAAAATACATTGCATTATGGTCAAACTAATAACCCGTGATTGTATATTTATGAAGTGACATGGTTCGAATCCCAACTCCAACACTTTTCTACTTTTTCATTACAATTGATGTTGTCCTTATAATTATAATATATAAATTAAAATTGAAATACCTATCACCATGGTTGTTTACGTAGTTATGATATAAGTGAATTATCTCTCGCTTCTTGATAGTACCGCTGTATCTATCACAGCAAAATCCTAGCATATATTTTCTCTCTTCTTCGTCATTAGCTTTCGCTTCATACATAAAAGTATTCTTCTTCTTCTTCCTTGTTCGAGAGTTTATGGTTTTTTTGTTGTATGTTGTTGTTGTTGTTATTGTTGTTGTTATATGTTCCGATTTTAGATCCTTCTCTCAACATGAATAGTGGGAGCGATAAACTTATCCACGAGATTCAAGTTACAAAAGAGGTTATTGATATGATGGAGTTATGATTGAATAAAGCCAATGAAGTTGAATCTATTAGGGAATACATTGTTGTTCTTGAACCGTCTCATGGAACGAGCTATAAGAAGATTCATTTCAAGAATCTTAACCCTGAAAAGATGAAGAACGTAGAAGCTATTATGAATTTGGATGTTATTGATTCTGAATCACACAATACAAGAAAACAAAGATTTAGTGTCGGCCAGAAACCCTCACTAACAGACCAAAAATCAACGCTAATAAGGCCTAGCGCCGACTAGGTATCGGTGTCGGGGCAGACTCTCCAAAGTTGGAAGTTAATAACGGCTAGCGTCGGCCTCGTGTCGGGCAACACATTAGCATCGATTTGTATGAACGTTAAGGAGACGCTAATTGATGACCCTTTGGTCTACGCTAATTGTAACACCCATTTTAATTATCTAGTCTTTTTGTGTTATTTTATTTTCGGTGTGCCTTTTTGTGGGGGTGTGTTTGAGTGCGTGGAGGGTGCCCTTAAGTATGGAGATTAGTTAATGCTTTTGGACTTTAATATTAATAATGATATTTAGTGATAATAATTTAATGAATAATGGTAATATTATTATTATTATTATTATTGTTATTATTATTATTATTATTATTATTATTATTATTATTATTATTATTAATGGAATAAGAATAGAAAAAGGGGTATTTTGAGTTGGAAAAGGAAAGAACACGATCAAAGAGGAGAAGAGGAAGAACACAGTCAAGAGTGGAAGAGAGAGTGAGGAGAAGAATCAAAGAGAAAGAAAAGAGGAAGCCAAGATTATCGATTCTTCGAGGATTTTCAACAGCTTGATCGAGTTATCGAGGTAAAAGGGGGAGAAACGGGTCGAAATTTGATATGTTACATGAATTTTGGGTAGAAGGGATTTTCCCCAATCCCGTAGGAATTGATGATCATGTTTGATATGTTGTTGAAATTCTGAATTGTTGTTAGCATGATGAACTTGTTGCATGTATTGGTAGAGTGATTGTTTAGATGATTTGGGGTTTTCGGGTAGTTCGCAATTTTAAGCCGAAATTAATTTAATTGGTAGAGCTGATGTTTTATCGGGTGAAATCTAGAATAGATTATGTAGCTAAGTCGCAGAATGTTGAACTAGTGTTGTGGGAACTGGTTTGAGTGAAATCGGGCGATTTTGGAGAGTTTTGCCAATTCTGAATAGTGGGGTTTTTATGAAATCGCAGACCTTCGCCAGCACTTTCGCCATGCGAGCTAGTAGCGAACCTTCGTTGGGAATTCTCTAGGCGAACTAGGTAGCGAATGCTACCAGTAGCCACTTTCTTCTTTCGCTAGGGAGTTCGCTGGGCGAGCGAGTAGCGAACATTCGCTGATGCTTCGCCAGGCGAATGAGCCAACGAGCATGACAGTAGTTTCATATTTTTGTGCTGTTCTGTTCTGTTCTCTTGTATTGTATGACCATTGTTGGTCATGATTGAATATAGATTGGTGCTGAACGGTGAAGAGTATATGTGTGGTGTTGGAATGTGATTTCCTTGTTATTCGTTTAATTAGAATAATTAAGTTGGTGTATGTTATTATATATGAATGTGGTGATGTGTGGAATATGTATGTGCGATGTATAAAATGTGATCGGAAGGATCGTGTGCAACTTACGTGCTTGTTTTATTTATTGTGCATTGGTGTCATGCATATCATGATGTTTTGGTGGGATGGATCATGTCTCGGATGGAGCGTAAGTGATCCATCCGTACTCCTTTGTGGAGAATGGTGGGGTTGAATCATGTCTCGGATGGAGCGTAAGTGATTCACCCGTACTCCTTTGTGGAGAATGGTGGGGATAGATCATTGCCATTGGTGGGTGTATCTGATCTATCCGGGTTCGATTGAATAAACTAGTGAGTCGGTACCGCATATCATAGTGTTGGGTTGCATATTTTTGCATTGTCTTGTGTGTTGTGTTGGTGTTGGACAGTAGGTCCTGGTTGATGTATGTTGAATGATATTCATATGATTGCTACCTTTTATTCATGTACATTATTACCGCTATATTTTTGATCATGTTTTCTCACCCCTTTTGTTATTGTTGTGGTCTGTGCTTCTTTGGAAGTACAGATAATCCAGGTGCGTAGCTAGCTTGGATAGTGGCAAGTCGAGTCGTAGGGAGGCTCTGATACATAACACGGGGCTTGGGAGTTTATTGTTTTTCTGGTGATTTTGTTTTACTCCGTGGCGTATCATGTTTCGTTGGAACCTTTGATGAATATTGTGTATGTTTGGGCGGATGGCCGAATACGACGTATATATGTATATATGATATTCCGCTGTTTATTTTTTTTTGAAAACCATACGATGAAGTGTTTTTTTTTGTTGAGCTTCTTTTGTTATATCCCGCTTTGGTATGGCAACTCTGATATTTAATTGATTTAATTGTTTTTTTTTAATTTTAATTTTGGGGAGCGGGGTGTTACAAGTTGGTATCAGAGCAGGTTGGTTCGTTAGGCCAGTGTAGTAGTTGAGTCTGTTTGTAGGATAGCGTTTGCGTATCTGTTAACCTGGCATTGTTGTTGTTATTGAGCAGTATGGCGGGGAAGAATG